GTGGCTTCCTGTTCTGAATTGCCAGTGTCTCCTCCACTGGCAGCCCTCATGCTTTATGGCTTACGGAATACAAATAAACTTTATTTGACTTTTAGAATATTCATTTTTGATTTATAGTTATGTGTGTTGCCTGAGTGAGTTTATGTATACCTTGAGCTAGAGCCGCAGGTGGCCACCGGATATGACTGGTGGTGCTCCTACCCACTGAGCTCTCTCTTAGTCTTTAAAAGCTGTGTGTATATGTGTGTGACGTGTGGGGGGAGGGGCACAAATGCCACAGCTTGTGTGTAGAGGCCAGGGGGCAATCCCGTGGAGTCAGCTCTTCCCTTCGCGTCACTCCAGGAATGAACTCGGTTAGCTAGACTTGCAATGGTAAGCGTCTACACCCGCTGAGCCGCTGCTGTGGAAGAGTAGCTCAACCATTTAAACTAATCATTACTTATGGTGCAGGATAATTGCTAAAGTATGTAAAGATGTCCATGCTGCACTCGTTTAACTCTGTGTTTCTGTTTTCACCTTGCCTGACTAAGGCACCCCGACTGGTTTAGTAAAATGCTGAACAGCCAATGGCTAGGCAGAGGAGGGTTAGGGTCGGCTAGCGGGCAGCAGAGATAAGGGGAGTCCGGCTAGCCAGCCAGACACAGAGGAAGCAGGGTGGGCAGTATGTAGAGGAAGTAAATGAGCCTCGGGCGACACATAGATTAATAGAAATGGGTTAATTAAACTTTGAAAAGCTGTCTAGAAACAAGTCTAAGCTAATACTGAACATTCATAATTAATAAATCTGTGTGCCGTGATTTGGTGGTCCAAGAAAGCCTGCTACAGGCCATGTTCCTTAGTAGTTTACTTTTTAAAACAAAGGTTTGTTATTATTATTATTTTTTTTTTGAGACAGAGTGCCCCCTCCCACTTAGATTTCTCTGCCAATGTAGCAAGTCAGACCAAGCTAAATAGTAAAAGTGAAACAACAGGTTCATTTGAGCAAAGCAACTCCCTGGCGGGTTCTCCAGTCCCAGAAATCAAGGCTGGAGAAGCCACACCCACAGATAAAACAGGGAGACTTTTATAGGTTGTAGGCAAGGGGTGATGATGTGTCAGCCATAAGCTGGGTTCGTGCCCAAGTATGGTCAAAGTCTCTCCAGGCAGAGACTTGGGCGGCAGCTTCAGGGGAGGAATTAGGGACTGGGCTTTGTTCAGAGACTGAGTGGGCGGGGTTTAGAGAGAGACAGGAACGGGGCTTCCCAGACCATGCAGGGGGTGAGCTGAAGGTTCCAACTGAACAGTCCCTTTCAATTGTCAGCTTAATATACTTTAGGATCATAGAGGGACTGTGGACATTGGTTGCCCAGTGGATACGTCCTTGGAGGATTGTCTCGGTTATTTCGTTTATGTGGGAAGGCCCACCTTTGGGCAGTACCATTCCTAGGCAGTGGGGGGCACCTCAGAACACGTGTGCATGCATTCCCTCCCTATGAAGGGAGCAGGCAAAAGCACCTTGGCCAAAGTGCTGCCATTTTGACTCCAGACTCTATTTTACCTGTACAGTAAAGTAAGTTCAGGTTTCCAAACCTTAGGGGAGCTGAGAACTTTCCAATGGCTGACCAACCTCCTTAAACCACAGAAGTAGTCATTATGCATTTTTACTTCTCTGGAAATAGTATGATTGTTCCTAACAACAGAAGAAACAAATGAATCTGACTGGTTGGACTAAATAAAGGCTTACATTCTATGTCGACAATGATGGAACACACAAGGAAAGTCCCTAATTTCTGATTCCTGATTGGTGAAAATTGTAACTTGGCAACAAATATGATTTTTGTGCTTATAAACGCTGCTTCTGCCCCTGCTCAAGGCTGCCAGGAAAAAGCCTCCTAAGTCCTTGTCCTGCAGCCCGTATTGATCGGTGGGTGACCTGATTATGTGGAGACCATTAAAATCTTGGGAGCCCGTTGTGTTTTCTCTCTTCTTTCTCATAGGGCACAGTGGCCTCCACCTCCTTCCCGAGTGCTAGGATTACAGGCATGTGCCACATTGGCCAGCTTATGAAATGCTGAAAATCAAGTTTAGGGTTTTGAGCATGCCAACCACTCTACCAGAACTATTTTCCCAGCCCCTGTAAGCAGCCTGAGGTATATTCTCTGGTAGATATATATGTGCCTGGTCTTATCTACTTCTTTTCCTAATTTTATTTTTAATGCATTGGTATTTTGCCTGCATGTATATGTGTGTGAGGCCGTCAGATCTTGGAGTTGGGCAGTTGTGATCTGCCATGTGGGTGCTGGGAATTGAACCTGGGTCCTTTGGGAGAACAGCCAGTGCTCCTACCCACTGAGCCATTTCTCTACCCCTAAAGAACAGTTAAGGGAGGGAGGGTCTCATCTCATGTACATGTGGCCCATTTACACGCCGAGGATGACCTCTCCCCAACCCTCTCTCTTTTCTTCTTTTTTTCCTCTCCCCCTTTGGTTTTTTGAGACAGGGTTTCTCTGTGGCTTGTGGATTTGGGAGCTGGCGTGGAACTCAGAGGTCGGACTGCCTCTGCCTCCCGAGTGCTGGGATTAAAGGGTTATATATATAATCACCTGCTTCCTCCAGAGATCATAGACATGCACTACTGCACCCTGTTTATATATTGCTAGGGATGAACCCAGGGCTCCTATGATCTTTTAATTTTTTTTTTTCATTTTTTTGAACAGTATCTCACATTGTGCAGCCTAGGCTGGTCTACAATTTCCTATGTAAATCAGTGTAGCCTAGAGATCCTTTCGCACGCCCCTTCTTCCCAAACGCTGGGACTAAAGGCTGATGCCACTATACCCAGCTATTTTTGTGCTGATGTGTGTTGGACAGACCATAATGTAGGCAAAAACATCGATACACATAGAAATAGTCACATGAACATAACTATGTTGCATTTTCACAACTGTTTTGTTGTACATGGTGGCTGGCAAATGGTTTTGGTAGATGATCTAATAGAGAATTTCAACTCGGTGCTTAGACCAGGGCATCAGTACCTGGGAACTTGGCAGAAACGCGCGCGCATTTGTGATCTGGAGAAGCCTTCCAACTCACTGTGATGCAGCTGAAATGTCTTACATATCCAGCACTTAGTCATTCCGCCCTACTGGCGTCGAACCAGGAGAATGCTCTACTGAGTTACATCCCCAGCCTTGCATTTTTAATTTGTTTTCTCATTCAAGTGAGAGGCAGGTTTAAAGTAAAAACAAGACTGTTATGTAAGTGAAAGTCGTTCACTTCTAAAAGAAAACTTTAAACCTCAATGGTGTTTGCTGGGAAATGTAGTTTTTAAGGAGCAAGGAGCACACCACACCCTCAAGTCACCTGTCGCCCCCGCGTGGTAGGTAGTCTACAAACCCTCGCATAGGGACGCCTTCAGAGCGCTGCGTTCCCTTACTTATGTATCAGCCGCCATAATCTTGCCCACCAACTATTAGATCAACACAACGAAAACTGTGATCTAAAAGCTTTTATAACTTCTGCACCAAATGTATACCGACACAGAAAGTTAGCTGCTGAAAAAGCAATCTACCGTTAAACCAAAGATTAAAAAGAAACCACTCAGACTGCATCCTCCCCCTCTTCCTCTCCCGAGGGAGAGAAGAACGATCATCAATGGCAAATAGCAGTTGCAAGAAGCAACACTAAGAGCCGGCTTCACGCTCAGGGAGGACACTGCGTCTCCTCCTCGTGGTTTCGGGTGCTCTACACAGTCAGAGAAACTTCTCTAGTAACGAACTATAGAAATGATCCCTGAAAGTATAGTCTTAGCATCTGCCCCGCAACCGCTGCCGAGTCACAGCCCACGGCTCATTTCTAACTAATGGTGACAAGTGTCGTTACATTCACGTCCCCAACGCCGCTAACATTCTCTCCAAAGAAATAACACGCGCAGAAATGTTCACAGTGGTGTTTGCGTGTTACTTTGGAAAAAAAATCCTAAATATTATGAATTGTAAAGTAACTCCGATCTAACTTAATTAACATATCACCGATACCAGCCAGTCAGACGCTAGTGGCTCCAGGCGCCCAAACAAAACCACTTCCGGTCCAGTTTAAAGAGAAAGGGTGCGTGCGGCTTCTCGGGTTTTGTGTTTTGTTGTTCGAGACTGGTGTGGTGTGGTTCGGTGGCTTTTGCTGTGTCGCAGCGTGGGCTCATCACGCACACACCTGAGGCCGTGGAGCCAGCCTGGCCCTGAGTCTGCACTAATCGTCCTGCTTTATCCCCCTTAGTTGCTAAGGGTAACAGGTGCAGGCGAGCTTTGCAGGTAGCTGGAATTGCTTCCCCAGGCTTTGATTCGGAACGCCAGCCAGGTCGGAGGTGAAGGCAGATGGTCGCGCGCATCTCCAGCTACTTAACTGGGTTCAGGGCAGCCACGGTCTCCAAGGCGGGGTCGGGGGAGAGAAACCTAAATTCCCCCAAGCCCGGAAGCTCGGAGCGTGCCGCGCCTTCCCGTGGTCCTGCGCCGCAAGCCCGGCGCCGCCATCTTGCTTCCTGGCGAGGCGCGTGTGCGCCGCTGCCCGCAGAAGCCGGATGCGGGGCGCCGCTGCCCGCACCCAAGATGGCGCCCGCGGGTGGGCGTGGCCAGGGTGGCTTCCCCGAGCGTGCGGGCTATGGCGTCTGCTGCGGATCCCCGGTGGGAGGCCGAGGACGAGGACGGGGAGACGGAGGAGGAGGAGGCTGTAAGCGTGGGTGCAGGCAGGCCTGCCGCCCCGGGTGGGGAGGGGGTCCGGGGCGCGGACGGCAGGGCGGAGGCCCGGCAGCCCTGTGGCTTTGCGACGCCGGGCGCGAGGACCCAGGGTGGCGTCTGCCCATTCTAGACGGAGCAGCCATGGTGTGGGCGGCCTGCGGGAGAGCTGCTGCACCAGGGCCCGACCCAGGGCCCGCGGCGGCGGCGGCGGCGGCGGCGTTACGGTGGCGTTTGCGGCGCTTCTGCCCCGTGCTCACTGGCCGTGCACCATGCTAACTTCTCTCTCTTTCTTTCTCCCGCCAGGAGCAGTTCGTTCTGGTAGAGTTGTCAGGAATTATTGACTCAGACTTCCTCTCCAAATGTGAGAATAAATGCAAGATTTTGGTGAGTCTGAGAATTTGCGGAGTGTTGTAGATTTTTTTTTTTTTTTTTTTTTTTTTTTTTTGTCCCCCTCTCTGGTCTCTTTTCTGTTTTCTCTCCCGTCTTTCAAGACAGGGTTTCTCTGTGTAGCCCAGGCTCTCCTGGAACTTGCTCTGTGGACCAGGCTGGCCTTGAACTAAGAAGTCGGCTTGCCTCTGCCTCCTGAGTGCTGGGATTAAAGGTGAACACCACCATTGCCGGGTTTTTCTTAAAACAAGAATGATGTGGTGCGCTTGTCCACAAAGATGAATCTGTTCATTCCGCCTTACAGAGCTTACGGATCATTCCAGAAGAATTAAGTAATGGGTGATCCTATAGGAGTAGAGAAAATGCCTGCTTCATTGCCTGAATGTGTGCTGGGGAGAAAGTAAAAGAGCAAAATATAACATTTTGAATGGAACTTTTCAGGAGAGTTTTAGGACAGAAGCCTCATCAGCTGCTATACCTAATCGGATCGGAGCTGGCTTTCTAGTAGGCCTAGTCTCAGTCCTATCTAGTGGCCACAGTCAAGACTACTAGTCTGGACCCAGAGTCTGGCCTAAGTGTTGACATGCAGACAGCTTGCCAGGCATTACATGCTACACTCAGGGTCTGCTCATCACTATAGGCAGTGTCTTTGGTGTGTGTTCATTGCTCACACCTGTACCTCACACATCCCTCTACCAGCTTGAGCTGCCTAAAGCTGGGTAGTGGTAGCTCATGACTTTAACCCCAGCACTTAGGGGATAGAGGCAGCTAGAGCTCTATGATGAGTTTAAGGCCAGCCTGGTCTACAGAGTGAGTTCCACGAGAGAACTTGGGCTACACAGAGAAAACCTATCTTGAAAAAAACCCACAAAACAAAGAAACAAACAAACAAAAAATCCAACCAATCGACCAAACAATAACAAAAAAGAAGACACAGATTAAGAGAAAAAGTTATTGTTATCAGAGTTTTAGGGCAAAATCCCTGGCTCCAAAAATTACAACTGGCTAGTTTCTGCCACCCATCCCAACATGACAGTAAGAGATGAGTTAATGTGGTCTACATAGCAAGTTCCAGGACAGGCCTACATAGAACCTGTTTTAAAACAAACACAACAACAACAAAAAACCCATCCAGGCATGTTGGTACACACCCTTAACCCACCTTTCACTCTAGAGAGAGGTTCAGCTCTAAAGAGTGTTTACTCCTCTTCCAGAAGTCCCCGGGTTCAGTTCCCAGCACCTCCATCAGGTGACTCACAACCACCTGTAATCGAATCCCAGGGCGTCCACCACCCTGGCCTCCGCAGGTCTATACATACACTCATTCGGGCACACACACACATAGTCCAAATAAGCCTTCAAAAAAGGGGAGGAAAACCAGATGTGGCACGTGCCTTTAGTGCCAGCACGTGAGAGGCAGAGGCAGGTGGACAGAGAAACCTTAAAAAAGAAAGTGTAATAATGGAGCACACAATAGGTTTCATGATGATCTTAAGCGTGCACATAATAAACTTGATCATATTCACCCTTCTCCCCTCTGCTTTCCTTTTCCCCAGTAGTTCTGGGCTTGTGTAATCCAGAATCCTCCATTCATAGCTAAGGCTGTCCTTGAACTCATGATTCTCCCCTCTGCTTTCCTTTTCCCCAGTAGTTCCGGGGCTTGTGTAACCCAGAATCGCCTGCATTCATAGCTAAGGCTGTCCTTGAACTCAGGACTCTCCCACTTGTACCTCTTGAGTGCTGGGATTACAGCAGTGTGCCACCATACTGGGTCCTGCTCTCCCTCCCTCCTCTCCCTCCTCTCTCTCTGTCTCTCTCTCAGATTGTATTTATTGTACATACAGTGTTTTACCTGCATGTGTGCCTGCAGGCCAGAAGAGGGCACCAGACCTCATTACAGATGGCTGTGAACCACCATGTGGTTGCTGGGAATTGAACTCATGACCTCTGGAAGAGCAGCCAGTGCTCTCCATCTCCCCAGCCCCCTACCCCTGTCTTCTACATAACTAGACTGGTATCAAGCTCACAGATGGTCTGCCTTGTTGCTTTCCAGATGCTGCGATTAAAGACGTGCCCTACTTACTACACTTGGTCCAGGCTGTCCTGGAACTCAATCTGTAGACCAGACTGGCCTCGAACTCACAGAGATCCGCCTGCCTCTGCCTTCGAGTGCTGGGATTAAAGGTGTGCGCCACCACCGTTGGGCTCAAGGGCGTTTTCTGACGATAGTATTTTATGTCCTTTAACCTGTTGTAGGGAATTGACACCGAGAAGCCCATCCTGCAAGTAGACAGCTACGTGTTTGCTGGGGAATATGAAGGTAGGAGAGTATCAGACAACAAGCTGCTTTTTCGTGTGGCTTCAGAGTATTTCTGCTTTCTTAATTGGCCTTCACATTTCCCTGCAGACACTCTTGGGACCTGTGTTATATTTGAGGAAGCTGTTGAACGTGGTAAGTGTTGCTATGCTAGACCAACTTTTTGTACAGATTATTTCAAACTTACTGTGTTGGTTTTTTTTGTTTTGTTTGTTTGTTTGCTTTATTGTTGCTTAATATCAGATGAGCTGTAGCTCAGGTTGGCTTTGAACTCACAATTCTCATGCCTCTTTAGTGCTGGGATTATAGCCTCTGTTCACCACTAAGCCTACCTTCAGATACACAATGTATAGTTTTTAGATTAAAGCATGTGGGGAACCTTGGCGGGTTGCATGGTGGGCGAGGCTGACCGAGGCAGAGGGACAAACACGCCGGGCAGACAGAGTTTAAGTGAAAGTTCTATTAGGAAGGGGAGGGAGGGAGAACAGAGACAGAGAGACGAGACGGGAGAAGTCCTGTCTTCCCCAAGGGAAATGGGAAAGACAGCGTAAGTGGGCGGGGTCTTCTTTTAAAGGGTCCTTTGCACCTGCGTGCAGACTATGCAACCATGGACCCCTGGGCTGACCAGGGTACTGCCTGAGTGCGTTCTGCCAGATGACAGAGGCAGGCCAGCATAATGCCTGAGTCCATATAATAGGGGGCTGGAGATGACAGCAGATAAAACCATGTACTATTCCTGTAGAGAACCTGAGTTCAGCTCCCAGTACCCATGTTGGGTGGCTCACAAGTGCCTGTAATACCAGTTCTCGGGGTTGGCCTTGGAGGGCACATTCCCACGTAGAGACAGATACATAAAAAAAAATTCTTTTAAAGAGACATATGTGTAATAAATATTAAAATTGAGTATCTCAGGCGTTGGGGATTGAACTATAGCTTTGCATATGCTAAGGAGCCATGGCTGACCTCAGACTTGTGATGTTCCTGTCTCAGCATTCTGAGGGCATTGCTATACAACCGTGACTATCTTAATGTTCATAACTGCACTGAATACATCCCTATAAAACTGCCACCATATGTTTTTAATGTGCGTCTTTGTGTGTATAGGTAAAGATGTCTCCAAACTTCATATCTAGAAGTAGATTGATGAGCTAGGGGAAAGAAATAGATTTTAGTGAGAGACTGGGGTTGTAGCTCTCCTCAGGAACATTCACCTACCATGTGTGAGGCCTTAGCCACATTTATCCATTCCTGAAAAATAAACATAAAAGGAGAGGTGGAGGAGAATAAAAATGGAATGGAATGTGTGCTATCTTCAACTAAAAGGTCAGCTTGAACCATGAAGTCTAAGTTTGAATATTAGCAATAGTTGGGCTTCATATGGTTCCAATGGATAGATGCCATTGTGTTCCCTCTTGACATGTAGCGAGCGCTCACACCTGACAGCAGTGTGCAGATGTTTCTGGGGCTTCCCATCTTTGCCCCAGAGTCTCGTTATTTATCTGCCTGGGTCTACAGTCTGAAATGTTGTAGTTCAAGGCAGCAATCTGAGCAGGTTTTTTTTTTTTTTTTTTTTCCCCCGCAGGTTTTTCTAATTGGGAGCATCCCCGCTCAAGTCTAGCTTCGAGTAGGGCATTTGATTCTGGTCCTTCATTTGGGCAATGGAATTGTAGACTTACTGCCCTGAACTGCTGACCCCATTTCCCGTGCTAGGCCTTGAGTCTACCCTGCTGTTGCTTTAATCTGTCTGTTTTCATGTTTCTGCCCTTGCAGCTGTTTGTGTCTGAGTCTGTTGTTCCTTGGAGTGACAGTGCCATCTGTCCCTATCTTTGCGTGTGGGACAGCGGTGATAAGTTACGATGTGACCTTGCTGTGCTGTCTCCATGGGAAGTACTGAGTGCTTCATGCGATGGCATGGAGCGGCATAATAAGCTTCGCTCACTTTGTGTCCTAGTGGATCCGGAAGGCAGCGATAAAGCAGTGTTGAAGTATAAGTGCCACACGATGAAGAGGCTCAGCATGACGAGGACTCTCCTGACAGAAAAGAAGGAAGGCGAGGAGCACATAGGTTTGTTCACGCCATTCTTTGACGATGGGTGCTCCTGGGCTGGGAATGTAGCCAAGTGGTCGAGAGCATTTGCCCAGCGTTTGTGAGGCCCTTGAATCAATGCCATCAATGCCTAGTACTAGCCAGATGTGGTGGCATATGCTTGTAATCCCAGTGCTTTGGAGGATGGGGGAACGCAGCCGAAGACCAGGAGTTCAAGGCCAGGTTCACCTACATGGCAAATGCAAGGGAGATCGTGCTCAAACACTCTGTCACAAAACAAAAGTCCTGAGTGTCTCTCTCTCTCTGTCTCTCTCTCTCTCTCTCTCTCACACACACACACACACACACACACACACACACACACACGAACGTAGGTTTAGCAGTGGGTGATACGTTGCTGTCTGATATTTCTTGGACAGTATAGAGATAACTGCGTTAAACTTGAGCACTACCCCGGTGTGGGGCTCTTAGTACAGTCCCAGGACTTGGGAGGCCAGGCCAGGCTCAGAGTTCTCCTTTTGCTTTCATTCCACAGACTCCCATTGCCTCCTGATGTCCGCCCCTGCCCCCGTTTATGCCTCCCTCACTCATCCCCTTTCTACAAACATATTTAAGTTTGGATTCCACATAGGTACAATACCTCTCTTTCTCATTTGGCCTATTTGTTTAACAGCGAGTTCTAATTACATCCATTTTTCTATATATGTCAATTTAATTCTTATTTATAGCTAAATAAAATTACATTGTGGCTGGGTGTTGGTGGCACACACCTTTGATCCAAGCACTTGGGAGGCAGAAGCAGGTGGATCTCTGTGAGTTCGGGGCCAGCTTGGTCTACAGAGCGAGTTCCAGGACAGGCTCCTGGAAAAAACAAACAAAAAAACAAAAACAAAAAAAAAAAAACACAACAGAGGTGATAAAATTATGTTGTATATGTACATGTATACCACTTTAAAGACTGTAAGATAAGGCTGTAAGGGTGAAATTTCTGGTCGTCCTGTTACCACCTCCCTTCGTGCTGGAGTTACAGGCATGCACTGACTCTCCCTTCCGGTGCTGGGTGATGGCTCAGCACCCTGCAGTGGCCTGGGGAGGTGGACACAGGAGGACAGTGGTCAGTCAGTCTAGCTGAACCAGTGAGAGACCCTTTCTCAGAAAATCAGGTGCAGAGTGATTAAGGAAGACATCCATGTGTACTTTTTTCCTCTAGACATACATGTGATATCTATGTATCCATGCACATACTCCACATATAAAGAAATTAAAGTTTAAAATTTTAAAAATTGTTATTGACAGCTGGGGGTTGTGCAAATAAGGATATCAGAGGACAGCTCTGGGGATCAGTAAAGTCACCCGTGTAGGGTGTGACATTCAAATTTACATCAAGCTTCCATGGCAAGTGCATTTACCTGCTGAGCTGTCTTAAACATCCCCAAAATATTAAATAAATAGATAAATAAATATATAGGCCTGGGATAATGGCTCTTGGCTCTAATCCCAGCACTCAGGAGATAGATGCAGACAGATCTTTTTGAGTTTGGGGCCACATAGTGAGATCCTGTCTCAAATGAAGGTGACATAAAATAAAATAATTTTAGAGGTGCTTGGCCTGAAGTAAAGACAATTCAGAATGATCTTGAGGCCCACAAAGCTATGTCTCCTCTACATCTGTTTATCCTGTGGATGGATCTTTAGCATGGTTCTGTGTCTTGGTGGCCCTCTCGCCTTACTGATTTCTGTAGCGGCTGTACAAGTTTATACCCCAGCAGCCCCCGCGTAACCACCCTTGGTCTGTGATCCATTTGTTGTCAGTTAAGGAAAAAGTACTTAACCGAGGTTTCTGTTTCTTACCTCCTGCCCAATTAGATGGTGTAGAGTGGCTGCAGATGAAGGATAACGATTTCTCCTATAGACCCAACATGATTTGCAGCTTTCTGCATGAAAATGAGGATGAAGCTGTAGCATCAGCCCCCGAGAAACCCGTGGAGTTGGAAGACGGAGAGACACAAATGAAAGGCAGCGCAGAGCAGACACACGAGCAGGAGGGAGCGGGGCCCCAGGAGGCAGGGGGACCCCCGGCCCTGGAGACAGCCCCGCAGAGATGGGAAGTTCTGCTTTCATGGGAATTCAAGATGGAGACGTTCCTCAAAACAGCCAGTCATGAACTTAAAAAAGGGTCTTGTCTACAACTAGAGCTGTGCAGCTTACAGCTGGCTCACCAACAGTTGTTACTGTTGACAGTGTGGGTACTTTCAGTTACAATACAATTTAGTGGCTTCGTGGTGGTGGTGCACGCCTTTAATCCTGGCCCTAGGGAGGCAGAAGCTGGCAGATCTTCGTGAGATCAGCCTGGTCTACAGATAGAGAGTTCCAGAACAGACTCCAAAAACACAGAGAAACCCCTGTCTTGGAAAACAAAACAAGCAAACAAAAAATACAGTTTAGTATACTAGACTCATGCAGGAAGGATCAGACAGGGTACTGGCTGCTCTCCCAGAGGACCTGGATGTGATTCCCAGCGCATACACGGCGGCTCACAGTCTCCTGTGGCTTCAGTTCCGGGAGATCTGATGCCTGCTTCTGGCCTCCTGCCTGTCTGTGGGTTCTGAGACTCAGACTCAGGCTAGTTTAGCCTGCTGGGTCATCTCCCAGCCCCCTGTCTACCTACATACAGCCCCCATTTAAAAGTATTCATTTTTGTGTCTGTGTGAGTGTGTAGTGTGTTCACCACAATCTGACCTGGCCCGGAGGAGGCAATTTGTGTTTCTTAGAAATGGAGTTAGGGATGGTCATGAGCCATGTGGGTGCTGGGAATTGAAGCCAAGTTGTCTCCAAGAGCTAGGGAGGTCTTACTGCTGACTCGCCTCTTTAGGTTTATTGTAGGCAGTGGTGGTGGTGGCACACGGCTTTGATCCCAGCACTCGGGAGGCAGAGGCAGGTGGATCTCTGTGAGTTTGAGGCCAGTGTGGTCTACAGAGGGAGTTCCTGAACAGCCTCCAAAACCACAGAGAAACCCTGTCTTCAGGGGAGAAGAAGAAAAAAAAAAGATTATGTATGCAGTATTCTGTCTGCATGTCTCCCCCCAGGCCTGAAGAGGGCACCAGATCTCATTGTAGTTGCTTGTGAGCCACCATGTGGTTGCCGGGAATTGAACTCAGGACCTCTTAAAGAGCAGCCAGTGCTCTTAACCGCTGAGCCATCTCTACAGCCCTTTTGTTTTCTGAGACAAAGTTTACTCTGTAACCCAGACTAGCCCTACATTCTCCAGCCTTCTAATTGTAGCAAGGGTCCTTGTATCTGGAAGTCATCTTGCACATAGAAGCTAGGAAAGGCAGAAGCAACAAGACAGTAGATTGAATTGTGAGAAACAGCGCTGCCCTGGGGCTGTGAGTTAGAGGGTCAGCAAAATTACTTCTGGACAAAGACCCTGAGCAGGCTTTCACTTTGGTTTCAGATTGGGTCTCAGGATGTCATCTTGGCTGGCACTTGCTAAACTAGGCAGGCATCAATCCAACAGTGATCTGCCTGCTTTATCTCCTAGTTACCACCATGCCCGTCTGATGTTGACTTTTCATTTCAAGAAAACAAGGGAATACCAAGTGTGATAGCAATAGTATCATTAACAAAAAAACAAACAAAAAAAAAGTCCTTGCCCAGAGGTGTAACTCAGTGTCGAGTGATTGATTACCTAGCATTTGTGAGTCTCTGGGTTTGATGCTTAGCAAACCAAAAACATATCTGGATGAGGAAGATGGGCAGGAATTATAAATGCCTGTTAAACAACACGGTCTGGCTGGGTGGTGGTGCACACTTTTAATCCCTGCACTTAGAAGGCAAGTGGTCTCTGAGGGCTTGAGGCAGCCTGGTCTACAAAATAGGTTCCAGAACAGCCAGGTGCCACACAGAGAAACCCTGCGCAAAACAAGACTGATGGGAGGCTGAAGCAGGATTGCTGCAAGTTTGAGACCAGGCAGGGTTACAATGTGAGATCCTGTCCCCTAAAACCCAAAACATTTCTCCCAAGACTAGAAGCTGTAAAATACTACCAACTCTGTCATTTGGTTTTGTTTTTTAAAAAGCTAGTTATGCCACTGGAGGGAAACTGAGCTGTTTAGTCTTGCTTCCCTCAGGACTTCACTTTTTACGGCAGACATATGGAGTTTCTGTCACAGATCAGTTTTCCCTGAGGGGATACCTGTGAGGGTCCTCCATCTTAATCCACCTCTCTGATACTGTGAACCGGAACCTGTCAGATTCACGGCTCAGTCCGTGGGGTTGTCCCATCGTCCCATCTCTACATGCTTAATCTCAAGCAGTGAGTTCCCGTGTCACCCACAGCTTGAAGTGCCTACAAATCGGACGCTCCTACAATTCCTTTCTCACGTTCAACCATTTGGCCGTTAAGATAGGTCACAGAAGTTGAAAGGACCCGAAGAAGTTTGCATTAGATTTTTCTTGCTTATTTATCATGAGTTAATGTCTTATATAGTCCAGTCTGACCTTTGAACTTGTCTGCTGAGGGTGACCTTTTAACTGATCCTCTTTGAAAACAGCCAGATGGAGAGACTGCATAGGTGCCAAGTGGGTGTTCCGTCTTTTGGTAAGGCACCCTCTCAGGAACCCCCACATACCGAAGACAGACTCAGGGTCCTGGGCTGGAGCTTTTGTAGCCACTTCCGTTAGGATGGTCGGTGAAGTCACTGGCCCCATTACAACTTCTGTCCTTTTCCACCCTGATGGCTGGTGCTCCACGTTGTTTCTTTGTTCAGCGCAGGAGTCTGAGTTCTATAGTAAGTGCTATGTCACTGACACAGCCCAGCATGCACCATGCAGACATGCAACTTTTGGAGCAGCTGTCAGTGAGGAGCGATCACTGTCTGGGAAGGTGGATCCCTGGGGCGAGTGAAGGTACCCCGGAGAAGAGTGCATCCGGGGAGAGAGCCCGGGGATTAGAGAGGCCCCGAGACCAGGAACGTTCCCTAAGAAGGTACAGGCTCGGGAGAGGGCTGGCACAGAGGACAGGCGGGTGCTGAGGAGAAACACAGCTCCGAAGGAGAGGAGTAGGGAGCAGGTAGAAGGCCAGGATTCCCAGGACCCGGGAGAGGTTAAAGAGGTGGAAGCCAGGATGTCAACACCACCTGCCATCATTTATTCCAATATGCAAAAAGATGCATTTCCTGGAGTGGCAGGACATGCCTTCAATCTTACAGGATAGACAGTTAATCTCGACTGCCCATAAGCAAAGGCAGCGTTACAAGTCCCACATCAGCGTGGGCAACAGCTCTATGCCGCTTTCGCTGCATGTCAAGATCCTCCCCCCAAACAACACAGAGAAGCACAGACCTTAACACAGCAAAGTAGGTGCTGGACAGTGGTAAGACGATGCCTTTAATCCCAGCACGAGAGCAGAGGCAGACAGAGCCCTGGGTTTGAGATCTACAGAGATAGTTCCAGAACTACGTAGAGAGAACTCTGCCTCAAACCAAAAACTGGTAAGTTAAGGCCAGGTGTGGCCTCAAATGCCCAGATGCAGAAACCGGAAGGATTCAACTGTGAATTCAAGATCCTGTGGTCTACATAGCGAGACAAAGCAATGTAGGGAAGCCGTGTCTTAAGACAAACCCGAGAGCCTAGTAAGCTAAAGCCCCCACGCCGTGAGAATCAATTCAATAACTGGCAAGTCCAGCCCGTGGAGCTGGATTGAAGGGACAAGCGGAAGCGCCAGGCGAGCACTTTTGAAGTAATAAAAGTATCTTGAACTTGGATAGTGGTGGTGGTTGCAGGTTTTTTGTTTTTTTTTTGTTTTGCTTTTTGTTTTCTTTCTGAGAGATGCAGCCCTGGCCGGCATCTGGAGCCTGGATCCCCCCGCCTTCATCTCCAGAGTAATGACTCGCCAGTGAGACCGCGCCTCACGCGCTTCCGGCCCTGCCGGAACTGCTTGTGTCACAGGCTCTTCCGGGCTCGCCCCCACACCGAATTACACCTGCACAGCTACGTGCCAACACCGTGACTATCCCCGGGGGCCAGCCGTGACCTCGGTGTTTGAAGCAGAGGGGTCAGCGCGTTTCCCCGATCTCGCAGCTGAGCCATTTTTGCAATTATCTGAGTGAAACGCGCCTGTCCGCGTCCCTAGCGTCCGGTCTCCTCCCCAAACACTCGCCTGCAGCCGGAACCACGCTCAGTAACCAAGGGAACCGGCCAGGACGCCACGCCCTCCCCATATGGTCCGCCGGCGGGGCCGTCTCAGGAAGTCGTGTCCCGCGCTTCCGGCACCGCCTCTTCCGGCGCGGGCGGCGGCTTCGCGGAAGTGAGCGGCGCACGTGTGCTGGCTAGGAAGGGTCCCGGCGGCGATGGACGCCTTGGATAAAGTCGTGTAGTGTGCGTGCGTGCGTGCGTGCGCGCGCGGCGGCGGCGCGTGGACCCGAGGTCACCCCGCTGCGGCCGTCGCGGTGCGGGAGCAGGGTCTGCAGCAGCAGGGCGGCTCAGGCCTGCACGCGAGCCCAGCGAGCCCATCGCCGAGGGACGCCGTCTTTCCCACCGCCCCGCCCCGATTGTCGGGACGGGGTTTCTCCTGCAGCCCTGGCTGTCCTGGAACTCGCACCGTAGACCAGGCTGGCCTCGATCTCAGATCCGCCCGTCTCTGCCTCCCAGTGCTGGCATTAAAGGCGTGCGCCACCAACGCCCGGCCCAGTTTTTGCTTTTTAAATAGCTTTGGGCAGTGTAACTGACAGTTGCGCTTTAGTCGCTAGATCTCGTGCACCCACTGTGCGTCGCTACTGAAGCCACAAGGTGCTGTTTACATTGATTGCAGGTTGGTGAGGTTGATTGGAAAAGACACGGACTACAGAGTGTATGGCTGTAGAGCGCTGTATAAACTTGCTTTCATTTAATAAGGGATGCATCTTGAGTGACCAGCAAACATCACTGGCTACGTGGCTTTACGCATGGCATTTCATTGGAGGACAATTTTCAATCCTATGTGGGAAACGAAGGTGTATGTATATTGTTTATTCCTCCCCTCCCTGCCCCAACATTGGAAGATGAGGTAGTAGTTAATTAAGAGAAGAGATGTTTTGTTAGATGGGCAAGGAAAACTGTTTGAAAAGCACCATTTTACCACAGAGGAGGCAAAGATGAATCCTTCTAAACAGAAATGTATAATAACACCCTATTACTGCCCCGCCATAAAAACAGGATAACTTTTTTTTTTTTTTTTTTTTTGGGTGATGGGGGTTGTAGACAAATTTTTATGTCTAATTCTTTTTGTTGTTGTTTTTTGTTTGACAGGGTTT